TTAAAACTAACTTGACCAAGTTAGAGTTTGTTAATAATTAGTAGAAGAAAATCTTCATTAATAGCAGGTTTAGGGATCCCACTGCATAACAATTCTAAATTAATTGCTAATGAACTGTGTAAATGATCATGAACTATATATATACAACTACTCAATAACCTTGACTGCTCAACAGTATTATATGGTCTGGACGAGGATGCGTTAACCTGTTTGTCTTGTGTGTTAGTGGAAATGAAAGTATAATCTGAATATAAAAAAAAATGCAAATCGCATACGAATTCAGTGACTTGTATCCAAAAGAGACAAATTTTAAAGATTACAGAAATAAAATTTTATCAAAGAACCAAACATTTTTTTAAAACTTATGCCTTGGTTTAGTTCAAACATATTTATGGAAATAACCAGAATTAAATGCACAATCTCGAGCTAGCCATTGCTAGTTTGTTTACGTGTAACAAACGGTACATTTAAAAAAAAATCAGTGCACTACTTATATAAAATTAATATTTATTTTAAAATATAACACGTTAAATAATATACAAAATATCTTTAAAAAACAACAACTACAAATACTCTACTAGCGTAAACAGTGGCTTTTATGTTCTTGGAAAGTAAGGTAGCTTTATTTGTTTTTTGTTTTTTTTTATTTTAAGCATGATCAAATGGAATCTGCCGCTGAAGATGATTTAGATGAGATGTTTAATCCAACATGAAATACAATTATTGGATCCAGAGGCGGCCTTAGCAGAGCGCAGGACCCGTGGTGATTTTCAGCGGGGGGAACCGTTAACCATTAATCAAAGTTTGGCCCTGAACCGGGCGAAATATGAACCAACTATGACAGTGCCATATGAGGTGCGGTGGCTGAGAGGTAAAGCGCTTGGCTTCCGAACCGGGGACCGGGGTTCGAATCCTGATGAAGACTGGGATTTTTAATTTCGGGATCTTCGAGCGCCTCTGAGTCCACCCAGTCTAATGGGTACCTGACATTAGTTAGAGAAAAGTAAAGGCGGTTGGTCATTTACCCTTGTAAACCGTAGGCCACAGAAACAGATGACCTTTAAATCATCTGCCCTATCTGAAAGGTCTGAAAGGGAAAATTTAACTTGACAGTGTCCCATCCTGCTTATTGCTATAATGGCAGTCTTAGCTATGGAGAGGCGCGGTCGGGGCGCCTTAATCGGTCCAAGACTCATCGGGCTTTTAAGGACTTGTTTAAGCACTCAAACCATTTTTTTCCAGTGTTATCGTGATGCACTATGGGTTGAAGTTTCAACTCTTCAAGAACTGGTCAGCACTGTGTCGTGGGTCGAATGTAGTTTTCAAGTCGTAATTTGGAAATCATTGACCTAAGAAGACTTCATTGGCAATGTATTCGATTCTGAAGATTAAGAATGAGTGAATTAAGCCCAGTTGTGAACTGCATATTTTTCCATATTTGATGCAGACAAAGCCGTTATCAGTAGGTGATCTATACAATAATTTTAGGAAAAAAAAGCAAATCACTAATAGCTAAAAGAGAAGTGCTATTGTGCGATCTGTCGACCGTCTTTCTCAATTCCTCTCTGTCTTTTGCCTAAGTTAGATCCTCTTTCAATGGCAGGCCCGTTCATTCTTTTATGTTGTCTTCCCCATCACTGTCTTTGTCTGCCTCTTCTTTTTTTTTCCTGATAGCAGGAAGGTCTTCGCGAGTCCCGAGGACAAACAGTTTGCGTTCTTTATGGTCAGCAGGTCATCATGAGGCCCAACGGCCATAGTGATGCTGTTTCGAATTTCCTCATGATGCGGTCTTTCTTCCTACCTTTTTTTTAAAATTTATATTAATGGTTTACGTAATGCCCGCTTCCATCAAGAAACAAAAAACAATAAATAGGAAAGGAAAGTTCCCCATTCCAACCTTCTGGGCATCTGTTTCTGTCGCCTACGGTTAACGAGGGTGTCATGTGGCCAGCACAACGACCAATCGCTTTACTTTTCCCCAACTAATGTCAAGTACCCATTAGAGCTGGGTGGGCGTCCAAAGATCCCGAAATTAAAAATCCAAGTCTTTACCAGGATTCGAACCCATGACCCCCGGCTCGAAAGTCAAGCACTTTACCTCTCAACCACCGGGCCCTCCAAGAATATAAACTTATTTTGTTCTATAAAAACAATTGCAGTTTGAACAGATACTATGAAAGAAGTTGCTTTAAAATTTTTTTTTTTGTTTCTTTTTCAGGTCATTATTTGCATCTTCATACATGTTTTCTACACGCCAACGGCACGAAAGAGGCAGCCAGTGCTGACTGAGAAATTCGTGGAGCTCTCTTGCGACATGACTCTCCCAGGGCTCATCTCCTTCCTAGTCTACAACCTCTTCCTGGTCACCCTGTGCTCCATCTTCGCCTTCAAGACCCGCAAGCTGCCCGAGAACTTCAACGAATCCCGCTTTATCACCATGTGCGTGTCCACGGCCCTGATCATCTGGCTGTCATTCATCGCCACCTACTTCACCGCCACCAAAGACAACGTCCGCGTGCTCCTGCTGTCCATGACCTTGCTGATCAACCACACGGTGGCGCTGGTGTTTCTCTTCCTGCCCAAGATCTACGCGGCGGTCTACGTGGACGGTATGGAGACCGAGAGCAACAGGGGGAGCATGCTGAGGCACGTAGGCTCCATGAACTCTTCCTTCTCCGCCACGGCTTTGTCCATCTCCAACAGGGTCACGCCTCTGCCGAGGCTGAGCACCATCAGCCAATCAACAACAACCTGAGCGAGCTACGACGTAGCCTACATTATCATTGGATGGCCGAGTGGTTCATTGTTTGACTGCCGATTGGAAAGTTTTGATTTCAAAAACCCTATTGGGGATAACCGAATGGGACCCAGCCAACGCCATGAATAAACTCAATAAAATCCAAGTCCGCCCAAAAAATTCCATCTTACTCTGTAAGCTGTTGAATCTGGTCAAAACCAACTTATTTTCAAACGACATGTGACATGACTTATCGCCAAATGACAAGTGAGCTGGAATATTCTCTAAACGTCATGTGAGCTGGACTTGTCTCGAAACGTCATGTGAGCTGGACTTGTCTCTAAACGTCATGTGAACTGGCCTTGTCTCTAAACGTCATGTGAGCTGGACTTGTCTCTAAACGTCATGTGAACTGGACGTCTCTAAACGTCATGTGACCTGGACTTGTCTCTAAACGTCATGTGAGCTGGACTTGTCTCTAAACGTCATGTGAGCTGGACTTGATTCACATAAAAAACAACAACAAAAACGGATGACTGATTTTAAGCTTGACAAACGAGGTTTCTTTGTTGTGTATTGACCACACAGTTTTCTCGTATACCAACTTTGACCACTGCAGCACGCAAGCAGTACATTCTGATTACCTCTTATATTGAACAGAAGGGGTGGAGCTTTGAATCACTTGTTGTATAGATACCGATTCCCCAGTCTTTGATGTAAATTATTAGCGTCTTCCCCAATGCCATCCACATCACCCCCTACTCCATTTAAAAATGCGCTTGTATGTTTCTGGTGTGATGATCTAAACCTTTGTATTTCAGGCAATAAGAAATCGCCATTTAAATTGTATGTTCAAATTCCTAGTAAACGCTCAGTTGATAAGAGTGAGGAAAAATGTAAGGCTGTTAGTCTTACACACAGATCTTATTACCTTGATGCTCAGTACATCGCTGGGACAGCCACAAGGGAGAAAACTCAGTTAATTCATAATGTTTTTTTAGTTCACCGAAATAAGAGAGAAAACTCTGTTAATTCGTATGATTGTTATTACCATAGATAGGGAGATAATGCTGTTAGTTTAAAATGATCAAATTAACTAGATCAGGTCGAAACTGGGTTTGCGTAGTCATGTGAAAAACACTGCACTCATCCTTAAACTTCGGAATCGAAGGCATTGCTATTATTAATTAGATAAGGAAGAAAACTTTGTTAGATCATACTTTTGACATTACCTAGATACGGGAGAAAACTCTGTTAATTCCTAATGTTATTTTTGTCTAATATAAGGGAGCAAAGTCTGATTTTAATGATATTAATACTTAGATAATCGAGCTAATTCTGTTAATGCATAATGTTGTAATTACATACGCTATACAGCAGGTGACCCCATTAATTCAAGGTAGATAACTCCAAAAATTAGCAAAAAAAATTAATAACGATTAATTGTCATGATGGTTTGGTATGAATTGCGAGCTTTCATTTTGATTATAACATAGAACAAGCCCTGCAGTATTTCGTCCTGTAGAGACTTTGGCTGAGCTGAAAAAAAAAATTGTCATTTGTAAAGCAACGCCTAAAATTTGCTTGCTATCATAATGACGCTAGTTAACCTTATTATTATTATTTCATGTTGTCTAGTATGTGTGGATCTAGCATTTACCCTGTGATGTAGAAACCATGGCACGAAGGGATTCATTTCACCCGGGACCATTACGATCGAAAATGGATGAGACTCATCGTCATAGAAGGCCTGAACACTGACCTGCAACGTCAAAACCTATGGGCGGTAGAGAACAATAGCTAGTTGCCACGTCACATATCTGTAGGAACACTGACCTGCAACGTGAAAAACCTATGGGCCGTAGAGAACAATAGCTAGTTGCCACGTCACATATCTGTAGGAACACTGACCTGCAACGTGAAAAACCTATGGGCGGTAGAGAACAATAGCTAGTTGCCACGTCACATATCTGTAGGAACACTGACCTGCAACGTGAAAAACCTATGGGCCGTAGAGAACAATAGCTAGTTGCCACGTCACATATCTGTAGGAACACTGACCTGCAACGTGAAAAACCTATGGGCCGTAGAGAACAATAGCTAGTTGCCACGTCACATATCTGTAGGACGTGGCAATGAGCTAATGGTCTCCAGTGCCCACAGGTTGTGATGTCGGGGTCAGTGTTGAGGGCTACTAAAACGATTGGTCTCGCAAGGGCCAATTTCTCTGTCACATTCACCCTTCGAGTTTTTAAGTGGAAGGGGGGGGGGGGGTGAGGCACCATCAAATTCTTGAACCCAGGACCATGGGGAGTTTGCTGTGCCATTCTGTTTACCTTGCGTAAAACTAGGTCAAGATAAAGTCTGCATCCTTTCGTTACACATTCCATTGAACAAAATGTATACTTATTTATTTAATATAGAATTTTGTTTATGTTATACTTGACTTTTGTCAGTTTTGATAGCCATTTATGTATTTTACATGTGCTCTATTAAATAAATAAACAAATGTAGTTATACCTAATAGATGACTTTTGTAGCTGTCTTTAAAAATATCTTTATGTAAGGTAACATACAGTCCGCCGGTTATAATGAAACAAAACCTAATACAAATTCATACAAGTGCCCCTTCATCTCTAGTGCCATTATAGAATGGAATGCGTTGCCTGAGTCAGCCAGGAAAACCAACGACTGAGCATAGTTGAAGTCATTGATTGACACGCATGACTTGATTGACACATGAAATTCCTACTACGTAATTATCTACTTTTTATGAAGTAGCGTCTGTAATATATAAGATAAACAAACAGACGTCTGTAATATATAAGATAAACAAACAGACGTCTGAAATATATAAGTTAAAGAAACAGACGTCTGTAATATATAAGATAAGATAAACAAACAGACGTATGTAATATATAAGATAAACAAACAGACGCCTGTAATATATAAGATAAACAAACAGACGTCTGTAATATATAAGATAAACAAACAGACGTCTGTAATATATAAGATAAGATAAACAAATGCTAATAAGCTTGAACTCAAGTACTTTGGATATTCACACGGTTGTCTTGAACATTTTTTTTAGACTTACGTTGGAACAAAGTTTCTGCAAATCTCCGTTTCATTTTTAAATCTACTTATTTTGTATATGATATTTTTTTTAATGTCTGTATTTTCTGTCATTTAAATGCATTTACTGTTGTATCAGGGGCGCGGTGGTCGAGTGGTTAAGCGCTTGGCTTCCGAACCTGACGTCCTGGGTTCAAATCCCGGTGAAGACTTGGATTGTTTAATTTCTGGATTCTTAGGACGCCCCTGAATCCACCCAACTCTAATGGGTACCTGACTTAAGTGGGGAAAAGTAAAGGCGGTTGGTCGTTGTGCTGGCTTCATGGCACCCTGCTCGTTAACCGTTGGCCTAAGAAACAGATGACCTTAACATCATATGCCCCATAGATGCAAGGTCTGAACCCTGGACCATCGATAAATATGAGCGACAGTCCAGCGCGCAAACCGCACGACCAGACATCTTTCTCTTGTTGGTATTAAACAAAATAATTAATTACCATTAATTAATTGACGAATTGGTTAAGTTTGTTTGATTGTTTCGTGCCTGACAATGCCAATGAGTATTTGTGCAAAGTATCAATTCAATGGAGAATAGTGCGGGAGAAATAACGTGTAGAAATTTTTTACCAGACAAGACAGAGAGACCCGTAAACAGGGCAGAGTACCAAAAGGACTGGAAAGAAGATAATGTCACCCCCCCCCCCTATTTAAAAAAGGAAACTACAGACCAGTATCACTTACCAGCATAACATGTAAAATCCTAGAACACATAATATGTAGTAGCATCATAAACCACTTAGACAAACATAATGTTATCACCCCATACCAACAAGGCCTTAGGAAATATAAATCATGTGAAACACAACTAATAGGACTAATTCATGATTTTTCAAAAGGTTTAGATAATAGTGAACAAATAAATGCTATCTTACTAGTTTTTCCAAAGCTTATGACAAAGTCCACCACCATAGTTTGCTTAAAAAATTAAAATATTTCGGCATTAAAGGTCCATTGCATCAGTGGATTAAAGATTTTCTGACAAGGAGAGAACAAACTGTAATAATAAATGGCTCTAAATCAACACCGATAACAGTAAACTCAGGTGTACCTCAAGGAACAGTCTTAGGTCCACTACTATTTTTAATTTACATAAATGATTTACCAAATTGCATTATTTCTGGAACAAAAGTCAGATTATTTGCAGATGATTGCATAATATATAGAACAATAAAAACAACACAAGACAGATATTTTACAAGGAGAATTAGATGAATTACAGAAATGGGAATCAAATGGGAGCATGTCTTTCCACCCAGAAAAATGTTAAGAGTAACAAAAAAACTAAAACAAATTAATTCCACTTATCTTATTCATGGCAAACCAGTAACACAGACTAAAAACGCAAAATACCTAGGTGTTATAATAAATGAAAAACTGTCATGGAATCAACATATTGATGAAACTATAAAAAAATCAAACAAAGCATTAGGATTTATTAAAAGAAATTTCTATAAATCAAATAAGAACATAAAACTAAAATGTTATTTAACCTTGGTTAGGCCAATAATAGAATATGCATCCTCCGTTTGGGACCCCTCAACTCAAGAAAACATTAAGAAACTGGAACAGACAAAAAATAGAGCAGTGAGATTCATAACAGACAAATATTCACATTTGACTAGAGTAACACCTATAGTAAAATCACTAAATGTAAAAAGCCTTCAGGACAGAAGACTCAAAAGTAAAGTAGCAATTATACATAAAACACTGAACCATAATCTTCAAATACAAAAACAAAATTTAATAAAATACTTAGACACAAAGATAAAGGCACATTCCTCGTCCCGTATGCTAGGACAAATTCTCCTTCTTCCCTAGTGCTATTAGAGCATGGAATGGGTTGCCTGAGCTAGCCAGGAAAACCAGTGACTTGGCAGAATTTAAGTCCTTGGTTAACATGCATGACTAAATGCATGACGCGTAGGACGTAATCATCTTCTTTTTTGAAGTAACGTCTGTATTAGATAAGAGAAACAAACAGACAAAGTGAGATGATAGAAGCTTTCTAAATATGACGAGTATTAAAAAAATTGAGCCATTTTTTCCATTCCTTTACATTTGTTGTTAACCTGGGCCTCGCTATCCCTAGAGCCGGCAATGTTTTTCGTAACAGGCTGTTGGTGTTGAATAAGTTTCAACAAACCTTACGAAAGGCAGATTATTTCATCATAGCCTAATCCGTCTGCAGGACATCAGGCTTGCAGCGTTTCGAACTCGGGTCTATCGTCACAAAAGTATGATCACTTACAGAGACGACAGGCAGCTAAGTATTTCTTTCAGTCGCTTAATCAGCTATTATTTAAATCTTTTTTGGAAGATTCCTCAACCTGTTTCAGGAAAGGCCACCCTGCAAAAGTAAGTACAGAATGAGAACCCCTGACATAGATCAAAAGATGCGGACATTCTTATTAATTGGCTATAATGAACGTGTCCCATATTATCGTCTTATCTTCACTTCCGGTTATCACGGATCGAAGTTCAGAATGAACTGAGCAAAACAAAACATAAAAAAAATACCTTAAAAAAAGCATAAATCAGGGGGGGGGGGGGAAATGTACATTTACTATATCTCAATAATATAAGTTTATTTCCCCGTTTCTGAACAAGCAAAAATTAATTAATCACCACTAATGGATTACTTAATTAATAAGTTAATTTTTGGATTAATACGTGCGTTGCATGGTTACACCAATGAATTTGAAAGTTTCAAGTTGATCCGAGAATGGGAGAAAATACACAATTTGTACCAGGCAGACAGACGGAGTGAGGTGATGTAAGCTTTGTAAACAGCAAATATAAAAATAAGAAACAACCCGAAGCTTATCTAAAGAGGAATAACTCGTCCTTAAAACTAAATCTACCAATGATGTACATGTTATTTCAGTTATTCGATATCAAACAAAATAATTAATTACCATTAATTAAGTAAGTAATTGAATGTTTTTGTTTATTGATTCATGCTTTGTTTCAAAAAATAATTGTTTAAAACATCAACTTGATCAGAGAATGTGTGAGGTGGAAATGCGTTAACAATTATAAAGGGGACTAAACCCAACAGATTTAGACATATCTGGAAATACTGTTGCTATTTAAGAAAATAATGAAATAGGTAATTGTCTAATTGATTAATTTTTTATAATTGATTCATGTCTAGTCTATGTTAATGAATAGTTATGCGAAATTTCAGCTTGATGGGTGTGGAAGAAATGACGTGTACACTTTTTACCAGACAAATAGAAAGAGTGAGTTCATATAAGCTTTGTAAAAACAATACCAATTATTTTATCTTATATAATACAGACGTTACTTTTAAAAAAAGGAGATGATTACGTCCTACGCGTCATGCATTCGGTCATGCATATTAACCAATGACTTAAATTCTGCCAAGTCAGTGATTTTCCTGGCTAGCTCAGGCAACCCATTCCATGCTCTAATAGCACTAAGGAAGAAGGAGTATTTGTACAAATTTGCCCTAGCTAATGGAATGAAGAATTTGCCAATTCTATGACTCAGTGTTAGCTTTTCATTTTTTGTTATTGTAATGCGAAACATTTGTCTTGAAATAAAATGTCGCAATTCCCTCTTAACAGATGTCACATTTATTAAGCGGTAGAATAACAGATGTCTGTATTTTAAAGCAGTTCTAGAAAAAAAATAGACTTTTAGAGATATTCAACAAGTCCCAGAATAACATACTTCATTGCTGTCCAACCAGTCATAAAAAAAAACCCAGACCAGTGCAATGCAAACAGTCCTAAGAAAAACAGATTTCAAAGTCATTTAAACAGTCATAAAAATAAATGTTTATTTTATCTAAACAGTCCTAGTAAGACAGATTAGAAAAACAGAATTCATAGTCATTCAAAAAATCCTAGAAAAACAAATTTCAATACCCATTTTTATATTGCTAGAAAAAACAAATACACAGATTTAAGTGCTATTTACACATTATTATTATTAGCTTTTATATAGCGCTACTTTCATGCCTACAGCATGCTCAGAGCGCTTTTTGGTCCAATCTCATTTGTGGACCAGTGGGGGGGGGGGGGGGGGGGGGAGGGGGTATCTACGAGTTGGTTTTTCCTTTTAGGCGCTCAGTAAACACAACTCTGCCCGAGTCGGATGTCGAACCTCGAGCCCCCTGCTAGGTAGCCAAACCAAGCCAAGTTCAAGCGCACTTGGCCTCTCGACCACGCTTCCCACTCCCACATTCCCAGAAAGAAAAAAAAACAGATTTCAGTCCCGTTCAAATAATCCTAGAAAAACAGATTTCAATTTAATTTCAACTGGCCTATCAACAAAAAAAAAAGATTCCACTATCATTGTGTAACCTTATGAAATGGAAACTAAAAATTTCAATCATGTGAAAATATTTGCTGCACTGACTTGTGTTTAGAAGCGGCTAATGCTGTTCTAACAATCAGATAAGTTTTGTGTAAATCAAATGATGACTTGAAAACGAGTGGCTGTTTGGTAGGTTATGTCTGCTCTGCGGACTGTCGTCTCAAAAGGTCCTGGATTCGAACCCTAACCACCGCTATTCCCCACCATCCTAAAGGACATCTGAGCTTGGAGGTAATAACTTTCATTTCTGAATACACGGCCTCAGCTTTAAGATTAGCTATTATCAAATCGGCGCTTAGCATAATACAAATTATTAAGAGAATAAATTCATTAAGTTTTTTGTTTTGTACACATTTTTTCCCATCAACGTCATAAAGTTTATAGAATACACATTTTATTGTGCATAATAGTATGTATTTATTTACAGGGGATGGCTCAGTAAATATCTAATTATGTAACTTGCAGTCGGGAATATACCGGAAACCTATGTTGCTTCCCTTGCATTATCATTAAGAATGCGAACTCTTTTTATCAGAAATTGATTTATCTCTTGGAGTACATGGTCATAATAAAGGATGCTTCCTGTTCTTATCAAATCTGGGTTATTTGTTTTTGTGTTTTTTTTAAAATCATTATTCACCATTATTAGCCGTACGCTATGTGGGAACGGAGAGGCTTATGCACGGATCAATTAGAGCGTCTTATTAGTGTAATTGAGATAATTATTAATTGTTTACGGAATGAGGTTCCGACTACAGAAATGTCCGATAAAACAGCGCCTTTATGGTCATGGAATTAGCATTATAAACGAAGGGCTTTGAGAAAATAATTAAACACCAGACCACTGGCAGAAATGATGTAGGAACTCTATTTCTCAATGGAGATCGTGATAACAGTACGATCTGTCTCACGGCGCCTTGAAAGAAGGTCTCGATACCACAGGGCGCTGTTGACCAGACTTTTGAGAACCCTCCTTCTCAGATGTTCAGGAATTATATGTTAGAAGAAATGTTTAAAAAAAACTTCATATGCCTACTAGTTTTTACCTTCCTTCAGGGAACAGTACCAGGATAAACAGAAACAGCGATTGGAAGACATCAACATTGAACAGACTTATAATTTAAAGATTTTCTATTTAAGGCAAAAGACAGAGAGGAATGGAGAAAGAAAGTTAAACCACAGTAACAAGTTGAACCACCGCGACAGTATATAGTAGTTTTATATCCTTTTATTAATTAACATGTTTCATTAAATAAATTGTAAGCCCAGTTTTTATAGCTACGTTGCACTGTTTTATGTCCTCCATTTTTTGGATGTCTTTCCTTTTGTAAACAGTGTACGGTCTAAATGTCATACAGATTAAAAATAGTGTGTAGATAGTCTCTCGGATAAGGATTGTACATTGTAAGACACTATTCAGTTAATAACGTGAAAAACAAAACAACAACAAAACAGATTTAGTAAAGAAGATATTAAAGGACTCACAAAACTCAACATCTCTGTCTACTAGGACAGAAACACTTCACTCTGGGTTTCTGACTGTTTATTTTCATTCAGTCTTTGTTGTGTCCTCTGCAAACGTTTTGTAATAGGTAGCCAGACACCACAACAAAGTTACAAACTTTTCCAGACACCACAACAAGGTTATAAACTTTTCCAGACACCACAACAAGGTTATAAACTTTTCCAGACACCACAACAAGGTTACAAACTTTTCCAGACACCACAACAAGGTTATAAACTTTTCCAGACACCACAACAAGGTTATAAACTTTTCCAGACACCACAGCCATTTTACAAACTTGCCAGGCACCACTACAATGCCATAAAGTAGCCAGACACCACAACAACAAAAAAGCATAACTTAACACCTGATAAACAAAAAGCAGTTTAAATACAAAAAAATATAGGCAATGTAGTCAATTATAAAAAATATAGGCAATGTAGGCAATTATAAAAAATATGACAGAAACTGATGAAAACAAAGTCTGAAGGATAAATACTAACACTGGTGACGAATTTTAAGTACCGAGTAACTATATTCACCTTGGTTCATATTTAAAAGTTGTTTTTTTTAAATACAAAATTCAGACACATTTATGCACAAACCTTGATTCTATTAAAAATTACTTAAATTCTTGTTCACCTTCTTTAAGCAATAAAATGTAGAGAGAGAGAGAGAGAGAAAAGAGCAATATGAAAGTCAATATAATGGAACCTAAAGAAATATATGAGAAAAAGATTTAAAAAAAAATAAACAGATAAAAGAAACAAGGACAACAAAAGGACAGACTAAAATGGCAGAAATGAATATAAAGAATTGTCTGCAAATGACTTTAAGACAACAGCAATAGTAAATATTTTTTTTTCTTAACTTAAAATTTAAACAAAGACTGTTTAGATAATATCATCATGATCAGATCCTCAAGACATATACTGGATCAACACTATGCTGTAGAGTAGTTCTTGACATGTTTCTAATACAATCCCAATGTGTCATGGATAAATGTGGGTATTTTTCAAATCATAATTTTGGTTAATCTTGGTGAACATAAAGGGGAGATCACCAGGTGATAACTGAGCAACGGAGGATTAGGATTCTCTAAAATGAGTCCGTAGCATCTCATATCACTAAATAGTTAAGTTTGTAAATGTAATTCATAGTACTTCAAAAAAATGGTATCCGTATAAAATAATTCAGAAAAACTTCTAAACATTTCTATTATAACTACACTTAGAGAACTAATATAATTTAATGTGTAAGGAAAAAAACCTTCCCAGTTATATGAGTTTAAAGCAGCGGTTCTCAACCTTTTAAGCTCGGCTTTTTATAATCCCCAACCCTGCCGTGATCCCCAGCTGACACACACATACAGCAATAGAAGAGTAGGCAATAATAATCCATATTTTCGATGGTGTTAGGCGACCCCTGGCAAATGGTCAATCAACCCCCAAGAGGGTCGCGATCCACAGGTTGAGAACCCCTGGTTTAAAGTGTGTGATCTTTAGGAACTGGATCGCAGTACACTAGCACTGTAAGAATACATCTCTATTAACTGATGCCTGCGACAGAAACAGCTTCTTTTTAGGACAGAAACAAACTGGACGGTATTAACTTCCTCCCCCGCAAAGAACAATCTACAATCTTCCAACTAAGGACAGGACACACACGACTATTAAATTGTGCCACCTGAACAAAATAAACTCCACACAACTACCCCATTTGCAGACACTGCGCCCACCCCTTTGAAACCGTAAACCATATCCTCTTTGAATGCCTCTCTCTAATCCACCTTAGGCAGAACCTACTTCCACTACAGCCCAACATAACCAACACCCTGTACGGCAGTGCTGAACAACTGAAGAAAACAGCACACTTTTTTTTTCCTTGGCACAGTCTGCAAAAGAGCTCACAGCTCAGCAGCAATAAAGCTGGCTAGAAGAAGAAGAAGAATAACAGAAGTACATCTCGGATCACAGTCCTTAATCTTCCGAGAGCAGACAAACCATTTTTTATGCACGATGTATCACAGCAGCAGGCTGCCCTCCACAAGTTTTAACTTCGGAAAACTGTTTAGTTACATGATAACAGTTTTTTCTCACAAGTCAGATGGTAGTGAATCATTAAGTCACATACTAAGCCACAATGTCACTCATGTTGAGTCTCTTCAAGTTGTCTATACTGAATCTAACTTTTTCTGTAGGATGATTTTTTGTCCAAGGTTACTGTAGCCACTCAAAGCAGGTGTTTTGGCATGTGAAAAAAGTCTTTCATTCCCAGGCACACCGAGTCTTGTCAGAAGTCTGCAACAAAAACATCAAGAGTTACTGTACTTGCAAATTTAAATTTAAAAAATTCAAGATACTTCTTAATACTGTTAAATACTGTTTCAAATTATTTAGATAATCTAATTCTCTACACAAGGTTTATCATCACTTAAATGCTTAGCCGTATCTGTGAATACTGAAGGATTAATTTCCCTTGTCGGTATCAAACAAAATAATTAATTATCAAAAATGAATTGACTATTTGTTTTTTTTAAATTGTTTCATGAATAATGAATGCCAATGAATAATTATGCTAAATTTCAAATTTGATCTGAGAATGGGTGTGGGAGAAATAGCCTGTACAAATTTCATACAGAGTGAGTTGATTTAAGCTTTGTTAACATAGATGAAATATGTTAGGCAATGTTAGTTTGCAATAAGAATTTTGGCGTGCAAAAGTAAGGATTCATTTGTTTTGTTTATTTTGCCTTTAGGCTTTAAAACTCAGCAATAATGACATCATAATAAAACAAAGACTAGAGTGTGATATGAAGTATAAACAGTTCTGATGTTAGCATCCTTAGAGATAGACAAGTTTTATTAATTAAGAAATTTTTTGACTTAAGTTACTAAGTCAGCGACAGTGTCGACATAAATGGATTCCCTTCATAACTGGATTAATTGTTTTAATTGCCAACACTCTTGATTTTCTAAATTTCGATGTTGGCCTTGCGCTTGTGTTCGTTTGGTTAGTTGAAATTAGTTGTCAACACTCTACTCAAGACACAGCAAAGAGGTGTCCAACCGATAAAAAGTCCTTTTAACAACACCCTTCCCATCTGAAAAACGTACTATGTGATGAGACAGTCTTGCTGAGACTTAGTCCCTAGCAGAATGACAGAAAGTGGGGAGTGTTTTTTAAGGTCTCCCTGTCTGTGTACAAGGAATAGCTTGACCCCCAGCCATGAACCAATTGTGCCTCTTTCATAACAATCTTCCCTTTTGCTTAAAGATAGCTGGTTGTGTAGTAAGCACTATTGACTGTCATCTTAACGGTCCTGGGTTTGCAACATGCCCACCACCATTCCTGCCCTGTGGAATGTTGGTGCTAGGATGTAATGCTTTTCAGTTCTGAAGATTCAAAACATGTCGAACAAAAAATTTCCTGTCAGAGCAACATAAAGTTTAGCAGTAAAAAAAAAAAGACATACATTTAATAGGAAAAATAACAATTACCTGTCAGACAGCTCTGGCATCACCGGCTGCATCAGCAGGCCACAGACTCTGAGAGTCTCCATGGCAACGTGGAGTATCATGTTTAGCTGGGCAACATCCTGGGGCTTGTCAGACTTACTCAGCACCCAGGGGGTGTGGGACTGGACAAGGCTGTTGGCCCAATGGAGGTGGCCCATGATGAGGTCTATGCCTTTGTTAAAGTGAAACTCTGCAAACAGCTGATCTACTTTGTCTAAGAATTACAAAATGAAGACCAATGTTATGTTGAATAGAACAGTAAGGATTTAAGAAGTGGGCTAGCAACAACCTAATAATTGTGTTGCCCTATGTGAAACGAATTGCGCGGGGCCCAGTCTGGGTAGGGATAAGGGATAAGGATAATAAGTGAAAATTAACATTTTGTGTTAGAAAATAAATTCTTCTCTGCATTTTATTCATTCTTTACTAAGTACAATATCACGCTCAAGTTAACTTTACAAGCCTTGCGTGTAGCGAAGTCATACAGTATATCATCAAACTTATGTTTCCTACATAGATCACACTCAAAAGCAATAGCAAGTATTCCCAAATTGTTCTATCTATCTTCGTGAATTGTTGACCTGAAGTAATTGAATGACACCCCAATATGACAGGTTTCTCTATTTTTCAGGAGATTTCTATGATTTCAGGAGATTTCTATGAGCATTTAAAGAGGCTGCAGCAAAGCTTACTCTGAAATGCTGAGGTTAACTGTACACAATATAACAAGGGGTATCCCAAGAAAGATGACAGGAATAAAAATCACATTCCCTCCTCGATGACTTTGATCAGTAGTCTAACTGCCAGGAGACTAGTGGTCCAATAATGGATCACTAGGCTTCAATGGGTTAAAACTGATACCTACCTGGCAGATTATAAATTTCGTTGTATTTCTCTCGCTCTTCAGCCGACAGAAATTCATAAAGGTCATCCTGATTTAGGGCGACAAACTCTTGCTTTTTGTTCACCGAAGGCGCTGTTAGACGTCCCAAAAGATTGCCCATTGTGTTGGCCAGGTCTGTGTTGATTCTCTCGACTATCCTGTGGTCACTGTAAGCTGGAATCAAACCATGATAAATAGTAATTGAAAACGTTTTCGAACTTTGGCATAATTCTGCTTTCTAATTGTTTCATATTGTTTGATATGTTACTTGAGAAATGAATTACAGAAGGGGATGGACGCAGGAAGGGTTCGAACTCAGGTCATTGTGACAACAATCAATAGTGCATACCAAACAACCAAGCAGCCATCTATCTCTATTTTTTTCTTGGGCCATAATAAAGCTTACAGTATTATTGGTATAGGGTTTTTAATTTCCTGAAAAACAGTGTCGTCTGAATTTATTCTATCTCCATTGAATATTATTTTTGATATTTTTGTTGTTTTTCATTGAAATTTCATTTGAATATTTGTCTTGGGGAGAGAGGGGGGATTATAAGAAAGCATGTGTCTTGATAATTTTTTTTTTTTTCATTATTATTAATTTTACAATGAAGTCTCTAATAATTGCTGTGTTTTAAATTTTCTACAGTGACGTTAAAAGATATGATATGTTAAAATAAAAACCAAATAAGCAAAAAAAAAAAAAAGCTTATCTAAAGGGAACAACTCCATAAATTTAATACTGAAGGATTTATTTCCGCTTTTTTTATATCAATTGAAATAATTAATTAACACTAATTAATTGACTAATTGGTTATTTTTTTTTAATTGATTCATTTTGGTATTGCACAATAAATAATTGTACAAAGTTTCAACTTGGTCTGAGAATGGGTGTGGGAGTAATATTGTGTGCAAACATTTGCCAGACAGAATGAATTGACATAAGCTTTGTTAAAACAAGCATGCTAGTGAACCATCAGGATCATAAATCAAAGGGAACTGATATTGCTAACAACTTCTAAAAGCAAGTGACATACCCTAAGAAACATTCAACAGACAAATTCATCAAAGATCAAAGATTGAATCACAGCTTGAAAATGTGTGCATGAAAAATTGAATCACAGCTTGAAAATTTTAGGGAAAAATTCCGCTAGGATAACTCAGTCATGCCCAACATTTATTGGGTATATAAATATTTCAATTTTCAACATGTGTCATGGGTTACATCATCATAGAGCCAAAAAGAACTGAGTCACTCTGGATTCAGTATGCCATGAG